CTGACCCTATCTTGAGGGGATAAGGGATATGGGTTCCAGGTTGTCCCTGTTTTCTACTGCTGATATACTTTCTGTGGGAGTTAAGATCGTCACACACCTTGGATACTGAAGAGTTTTTCCATTATGTATAGCCTCTTATGCCCTTTTGGATATCAGGTTCAGATCACAATTGTTGCATAGCTGATAAGCACTATAAAATTTGTAAGGAAACTAAGATCACAGTCTGATAGCGAACAGTGGGATATGATATGTGTACTCAGAATGTATTTTATCTCATTGGAGCTTCAAGATAGGATAATGGTTATAGTAGGAGATGTTTTGGCTAATTCAAGTATTAAAGGAATCAAGTTGGGCATAGAAAATAAAAAGGCTGACTAAGGGGGCATTGGAATGAAAATGGCACATGATTTTTTGAAGATCAAAACAGAATTGAGGGTGGACAGCTATGCCTGTATCAAGGTATACTTTGAACATTTCTCCACTAGAATAATATAAGATATGTGAATAGGCTATGTGGATGTCTTAGTTAACTTTTCTATTGCTGTGATAAAGCAACCTGGGTAGGAAAGATTTGTTTGGCTTATTGTTCACAATCCTTCAGCAAGAAAAGCTAAGTTAGGAGCTCAGGCAGGGCAAGAACCTGGAGGCAGGAAATGAATGATGAAATGACCAGGGCTTTCTCCTCTGGTCTGTGCCCAGGCTGATTGCTTAAACATCTCAGGACCACCTGTCCAGGAGTGACACCACCTACAGTGGGCTGAATTCTCCCACAGGACTCAAAAATCGTGATTCTCAGAGACATTCCACAGGCAATGCAATAGAGGTAATTCCCCAATAGAGGTTCCCTTCTTCCAGATATTTCTAGTTGACAACTGAAGTTATCTAGCACAGGGGATATATTTCATACCCAAACTGGGGAGTTTGGCTAGAGGGTGGACTTTTAGGCTACCTTGTAGTTGGAAATGAAGTTTAATGGGATGGATATTCCTCATTTATTCACTAGGTCCCTGCCACACATAGTTTACACTATGAACAGCCTGTTGCCTCCACATACTGAATCTCCCAGGTCCCATAAGGCAGCTTGTGGGCAGTGAGGACAGAATAGAATGGGCCCTGGTCATTTGTGGTCCTTTACTATGCTAACCAGCATCTCAGTGATTCCACATAGTGAGATTGTCAATCCAGTGCGACGTACTAAGGGAAGGAAACAGACTCAGGAAGAAAGCAAGGGATAACTAAGTGGAGCCCTGTCCCATCAGTGCTGAGCTACACAAATTCCTCTCTGGAGGAATCAGCTGACACAGGCCTGAGGCCTGTTCATGCTGTATTAGACTTCGTTCATTTTTTTGTTTTGACCACAGTCTCCTAAAAGTGGACACTGTTACCTTTTCATGATTTAATGCTCACCTCTACAAAGCTAAACATTTCAAAATGTACAGGAAACCATCAAAAATAGTCTTATTTAAGCAAAGCGCCACCAAATTCATATCATCAAATGGTTACATACAATTATAAAATAGAGCAGATCAAAAGAATTTACTCTTCCAGTTTTCACTTATCTTCTGAAACACTAGACTGACATAATCGTGGATACCTTGAAATAAGAAGTAACCAGTCCATATCTTACACAGCAGCTCCTTTCAACTTTTACTCACTTTCTTGAAGATTCCTCCTTCCTTTTCACAGTTTGGACCCTGAATGTCTCCCAAACACCCACATGTTGAAGGTTCGGTTTCTTATTAGTGCCATTATGCACCTTGGTGGAAATTTAAGAAGTAGAGCTCAGTTTACCAACCACAATAAACTGGTTATAAAGCATTTGCCAGATTATGGTCCCCGCCCCTCAAAACAAACCAAGATCACACCTACAGCGTTTCCTAAGAAGTACTCAGATCGTCAAATTCATAGTCAGGGCATCCTATATGAATAAGATCAGCATGTAGAAAGATGAATCAGACTGCAAGTGTTTGTTTTACAAGTGTTCAAGCCTCAGCACCGTTGTCAAGATGCCCGACATGATGGTATGCTCTTACATCCCTAGCTGTGGAGGGACAGAGAGAGCAAGATCCTTGGGTAACCAGTTTACCTCAATGATGAGCTTCAGACTATTGAGACCCCTTTCTCTAAGGAAGCAAACAGACTTCTTGGGAATGACATCTAAGGTGGTACCTGACTTCTGTATCTGAGCACACACCTTTAACACACACATGAATATGATAAAAAGATCTAAGCCCTGGATAAACCCCCAAAATAACCCAGTTTTAATTTTTATCAATTTATCAATATGCATTGCTATGGGGAAAAAAACCCTACCATTAGAGTACCAGGCTGAAGGTACCAAGCAGCTAAATACCTAGCTGGGCCCTGTTGGTCATCAGTTTTCCTCACGGTTGACTTAGAAACTTCTTTGTAGATATGTGGAGCTAAAAATAAGAAAAATGAGTATCCATGTATTCTGTACAAATGAGGAAAATTATTAGAAAAAGAAAATGGATTATTTCTTTTCTTTAGCTCCTGACTAAACTTGGGGAGAGAGAAAAGTATAATTTATTTTCCCAACCATGCCTGTGGCCACCCAATAATTTATAAGTCTGTAGGACAGAGACTAGATCATATCTAAGTGTGACAGGGAGTCAGATTAACTGGCCTTATCCTGAGAGTCAGATTATGTCTGCTCTAGGATGTCCTTCCCCTCTACTGGAGACACAGTGTATGTAAGAGGTTAGATAGTCAGTCCTCTTGGACATGGCATAGTTCATTCCTTTGAAATGTGGAGAACGGAAGGTTCTCATCTCTTTTCTGAGGACAGCTACTGCATAACTGCAGAAACATTAAAAGTTGTGAGTGAAAAAAGATAGCCAGTCTGATAGGCAGAGGGTGACATACACTGTGTACATTCAGATTATGTCCATCCAACCAGAACCTCACCAAGGTGAGGCTGCAGTAGGAGAGGATTTGGCTGATCTGTGCACTAAAACAATTAAAATGAGCAGCTGCAAACGGGAAGAGGATGACAAACGTCATCGCTGGAAGTGAAATGGTCCTAGGTTTATTGTGGGATCAAGCTAGTCCTAAGATGGACCAATATCTCTATGTGAGAATATACTGTGAAGTTCTCTCCCTTGGCGTTTCTATGCTGAAGGAGCATGAGCTTCATACCACAATGGTGGGGTTTGCTTGAGTGTGGACTTAAGGCAATCCTGTATCATTATGGAAATGGGACCATGTGGGGGTGAAAATTGCTCACCAGACTGATTAAGAACCAGTCATAATCCAGAACTGACCCGGAAGGGCAGTGGATATGGCAGGATAGAATGGGCCCTGGTCCTTCTTGGCTCTTTACTGGACCAAGCTCCAATTCAATGGATTCCTTTTAGTCATTTTGGCAGCAACTTTAGAGATGGCAGTAGACGGAAACTGAGGCTTAAGCAGAGGCAGAATAATGGTAGATTATAGAGAACAAAGTCTAGCCATGTCTCCCACCCAAGTTGAGCTATTCAAATTTCTCTTTTGGAGAAAACTCTTGATTCTTTCTTGAGGCCTTTCAGACTACAGGAGACATTGGTAAGATTTTTTGATACGTCCACAGATCATCTGTGTCAGTGACGATGGACCCTTCTTGGAGCTGGACACCATTCATAAACCATTCTCTCCTCTCCATCGCTCACTGATTTGGAAATACATTTGAAGAACACTGAGTTTGCAGCTGAAGACTGTGTAGGAAATACCCAGCAAACAGGGGAGAGCCCGTGTGCCGCCCTAACTTTGTTGAAAGGATACAATGCTGAGGGTCATGTTCCCCCTCAAGTTTTGAAGAGGGAGGCAAAACATACACCCCTCCTCTATACCGACTGTTTGGACTGCCATTGGCTCCCCAGCAGACCCACGTGGTTAGACCCTACTGCTGAAGAAGTATCAAACTTTGGTTCAACACCGTGAAAATGTTGGCATGGGAATGATCTAGAAGCGCCCACAATTTTAAAAGGCTTCCATGTAGCCAAAAGGCATTTTGAAGGATATTTCACTGGAATTGTCAACAATTATATTAGTCAGCTCTGCAGTAAAGGTATCAGCAAGCTTTGAAAGGTGTGTCCACTTGTGAAACCGCAGCATAAAAGTTATGGCAGCAAGCCGGGAGTGGTGGCACAAACCGCTAATCCCAGCACTCTGGAAGCAGGGACAAGCAGCTCTCCATGAAATTGAGGCCAGTCTGGTCTATATAGTGAATTTCAAGCCAGCTGTGGATACAAAGACAGTGTCTCCAAAAAGTTAAGGCTGCAACCAACAACACTCTGATTTGACTGAAGGGCTACTGTGGAGGAGGAAGAGGAAATCAATGTGTTGTAAGAGAAAAATCACGCACCTGAGCAGGTCTTCGGCTGTACTAAGGGTGCTATAATCTGATATTGGCTAAATGGATGTGATGAGCCTGTACAGCCCTCTGAACATTTATCCTCCGCCCTAAGGATTACTGGGACAGTCACCTGCTTTCTGCCCAAAGCCACTTTTCAGTGCTTCGTGGTTGCTTGTACAGGTTCCTGTTCGCATGAACTGTTGATGATCAAGCACTGTTGCTGTGATATGGTGGCCCAAGTCTCAGAAAAGAATCTCGTGTTTTTATCATCACCTGACACACTCAGGGAACATCGCTGAAGACATGACAGAAAGGACACAAGGCCCTGAACTAGGGGATAAGATTTAGGGAATGCGTCTATTTCTCCTTCTTGACATGACAATGAGTCATCATGGAACAGAGGTGGCTCTGGGGATCTGCAAAATAACTTGAACCCTACGGACAGTATGGCAATCAGCCAACAATACATATAGGACTGTGTAAAAGTAAAGGGCATGTTAAAACTCCCTGAGGGTCAGAGTCATTGCACCCTCAGCTGGGCTGTAGACATTGCTTCCTTCTGCCCCAAATAACTGCTTGGCTGTAGGGAGAGTCTGTTAGTGTATATAGCAGGTGGAAAGCTGACTGAAGGCAGGACTCAGGAGCAGTGTTTTTCCTGAGTTGGTGACTACGCTGTGGAGGAACTTCTTGGATATGAAGCTGTCATTAACTCTAGCACACTGCTGTAAGTAGACCTTCATCAATGTTCCTCTAATTAAGCTTTCTCAATACATTAGTTAACAAAGTTGAATTGTTTTCTTTTTTCTTTTTTGATCTTTTTTGAGACAGAGTCTCCCTGTAGCCACAGCTAGCCTATATTCACTACAGAGACCAGGCTGGCCCCCCACTCACAGAGATCCGCCTGCCCCTGCCTTCCGAGTGCTGGGATTAAAAGCCTGCGCCACCACACACGGCAATAAATTTGGGTTTTAATACAGTACTTCCTCAGTATCACTGGTGCAGCGTCTACAGGAAACTGAAGTTTTTTCAGTGACTCACCTTGTGCCATAAGGCAACAGAAAATTGAGAAATATTTTCTGGAATATTATTACTCCAAAACTGGGAGACCGGTATTCTAAAAAGGAATCCTCGTGGTCTGGAAACACCTGATGGAGTCCCAGGATGTTTTGCTTTGCATTTATTGGCATGAGAACAAAAGAGGACATTGTTACTGATATCCGGGTGGCACATGCTGCTGAACATCTTCCATTGCAGAGATTACCTATGAGAATAAGGATTAATCCAACTCATAATGACCTAGGACCTGAAAGTGAGGAACAAGACTTTATTGTGAGCACAAGTGTCAATGGTCTAATTGTCTCAAGAGAAGGATGAAGGTAGAATCTTGGGGTGCTGGCTCTTGCTATGTGCCTGCTCACTCAGATGAAACTCAGCAAACACTAATTCTGAAACCTACTGTAGACTATGATGACAGGTGCTTTTGTTTCCCAGTTTGTTATAAGTCAAACGACCTAGAGACAGGGAAAGCAGTCTTGTCCTGACAAATGTTGTCAGTCTTGTTGGTGATATCAGTAAGAGGAATCAATTAGTAGCAGCCAAAATTTTACTTCCTCAAATGTAAAATCAGCATAAATTCTCAGTACATTAAAATAAGGGAAGAGAATGACTTAACACTCTGAGTCGGGATTAGTTGGACCTCTGCATGTCCTCAACACAATGTTGAGAAGCACTTTTGGAGTAAGACAAAGATGAGGAAAGTCATCCAAGTCTCCAACTGTGTATTGGGACATGTAATGATTTGCCTACATTTTATAGTGGAGAAAATGATTCCCCACTCCATCTGTGTTGAACCAAATCATGCATTAGAAGGCCCTTGGGTTGAACAAGGCTTCCCTGCATAGGTTTCCTTTCAGAACATCATTGAAGCAGATCATCTCAATGTGTTTCTTTCCTTATAGCAGGGACATGTCTGCTGCTGCTGGTGTCAAACCTGCTCCTGTGGGAGAATGTGGCCTCCATGCCACAGACCCAGTTGCCCGCTAAGGACCTGTATGGACGTGTGATCTTCCTGTCTCATTGCAACCATAACCTAGCCACACAAGTATACTTTGAGTTTGTAAGTATCTCACTTGCTTCTGGTTTCTTCTCTAAATATGCTATAGAAAACTTGAGGGACATCTGGGAACAAATTCTTGACCAGATAGGATTTAACATATATAACAGAATGCATGAAATCCGGGGGGGGGGGGGTGTTAAAAAAGGGCGTGGTTCAGGGAGGTCTAAATTTGATAAGATCTATTATATAAAATTCATAAAAACTCAATAAAAATACTTTTTAAAGAAATATCTTGTATTAAACCAGAGATCTTTGTGAACTGAATGTTAACGAATAGATCACCCTTTGTAAAAGGAAAGATCAGATACTGAAAGTTGGAACAGAAAATATGTGATTTCATGAAATCTTGATGATTAGTAAATAATGCAGTGCTTTTCCATTTTTGTATAATAAGCTTTTTACAAAAGAAATGGATTTTCAGTGCATATTTTTGATGTAACAACATAAGGATAGCCAGGGAGACACTGTGATTTGCTGGCTTGTGTGGCTGGAGCCTGTCTCCATGTTCATCCTGCATGTAGCGCTCTGCAGATATCCAGTGGAGAAGTGTATTGTAGTGAATTTGTGCACAGAATGAAACTAAGCAATGATAAAAGTGTAAAGGGACAAGACAAACAAAACAATAGCAACTCAGGAAATTGCAGGTGCTACAAAATATCTGTTTAAGGTTTCCAGGAACATTCAAGTTTTCTGTATTGAAATAGCAGGAACTGTGGCTGTTTTCCATAGGAATCAGTAAATGTTGTCTGTTCAAGAAACAACTGTGAGATTTGGGTTTGCTTTTGATTCCATAGACCATGCAGCATTCCATAGACCAACAGAATTGGAGTAGTCTGGACCCTGATTAGTTGGATATGCTGAATGAAATGACATGATTATCATTCTTGGAAAGTACTTTTTATTATGTAATAAGTGTTCTAATTTTCTAATATTTAAAAAAAGATTTTGCCAGGTGTGGTGGCACATGCCTTTACTCCCAGCACTCAGGAGGCAGAGGCAAGCAGATCTCTGTGAGTTCAAAGCCAGCCTAGTCTAAACAGTGAGTTCAGGCCAGCTGGGGTTACAGGGAGGCCCTGTCTCAAAATAACCAAAAAATTTAAAAGTGAATTAAAAAAAGATTTCCAGTGATGAGTTTCTAATTACAATTACAGGGTTAGCTGATGGGGGAAATGTCTTTTCCCTTCCTAACTGATAATATGGAACCTGTTCAAGGCTAGTCAAAAGGAGAAAATTATTAAGACTTCAGAAGGAAATTAGCAAGCTAGAGTGTATTGCTCCAGATCTGTGTGTTTCTCTCCACTGCCCTTTCCATAACTCATGTGGTTTGAATTCCTCTTTTGACAGCATTCCAAAGAATTTTAAACCTACCCAAATCTGTTCATTCTTATTCTTAAAAATATATCTTTTACCTAAAGACTTTAAATGTGTTCAGTATTCAATTGATTAACATATAAACATTAAATAATAGTTCTAAATTCTTCATTGATTAGTTGGTAATTATTTCCTTAACGTATGACATGATTGTTACAATTAATTTTGACACCATCATTATTAGTGCATTCTCACTTTATTAGGATGTTGGTATTTGCATCCATAAAGACTCAGTGAAAATTGAAAGAAAAAATGTGATTCTACAATTTCTCATTGACACATCACTTTGAACTAAACAACTGGAAACAGGAGACTCATAAATATGGATACACTTGTATAGCAGCATGCTCAGATCTATAGAAAGATTCTTTAAAACTTCAATGTTTCAGAGTTTGGATGTTTTTGGTGTTCTATTTCTATACAATGTCTTGGTAGACAAAATACAAGAGAGAAGCAAAGAAGGGAAGAGGTTGGAGAGCTAGAACATTAGACCATGGAGCCAGTGGGAAGTCAAAGGAGGCAGAGGGGGTGCTCCTAGTAATTCAGTTTCAATCGGCATGGAGTCCTTACTGTAAAAATTGAACAACTGCCACATTCATTAATGTCGTGGTCATACACGTATTCATTCCATCCTGAAACTCCTCAAACAGAATCATTTCCCTCCTCCCAGGTAGAAAAAATTGCCAGGAGAAGTGGGAACATGGGCATGATGTTTGTCATGTGCCACACAGCTTCCATCCCAACTCCAGAGAACCGTGAACAAGTGCAGAGGACAAAAGTAAGTTTCCAGCTGGTTTTCATAAAGACAACCGGAGGACTTCACTGGGCAGTTGTGCCAGAGCTTATTATATGTGCTGATGCAGGTGTGGGGTCACAGGGGCAAGAAATCAGAAGAAGAATGAGTCTTCAGAGAAGAAGCATACTATGCAGTTGATGAATTGTAAAGAAAGTCAAATGCTATGTCACAATATAGAAGACTCATAAACTGTCCGTGTAAAACACCACCGTCAGCAGCACCTTGCCTGTGGGATTGTCACTTTATTGTGAATCTTTGCATTGAAGTGTACGTTCATGGTCCAATGTGCATTCATATATATGTGTGTAGGAAATGCACACACAGTGGTATTTACAGCATACTGCTGAAGGCTCCTCTGCTGGCAGTGAGTTCCTCTACTGAACCGCATGTCCTTCCTTTTGAGATTCTTCATCTTCCACTGCTTCTGCTCTTTCATTCCTCCATGCGGGCCTCCTAACTGTTCTGCCTCTCTCACATCTTTTTAAATATAATATTTTGTTTTATGCTTAAATGTGTTTTTCTGGTGTGCATGTAAGTGCACCCATGTCATGTAATGTCGAAGGAGGCCAGCAAAGATCGTTGCATCTCCTGGAACTGGAGTTTTGAAAGGATGTTAGATACCATATATTGCTTGGACCCCCCACATGTCCTTCCTTTTGAGATTCTTCATCTTCCGCTGCTTCTGCTCTTTCATTCCTCCATGCAGGCCTCCTAACTGTTCTGCCTCTCTCACATCTTTTTAAATATAACTATTTTGTTTTATGCTTAAATGTGTTTTTCTGGTGTGCATGTAAGTGCACCCATGTCATGTAATGTCGAAGGAGGCCAGCAAAGATCGTTGCATCTCCTGGAACTGGAGTTTTGAAAGGATGTTAGATACCATATATTGCTTGGACCCAAACCTAGGTCTATTCCAGCTCTAAAGCACCAAGCCATCTTTCCACCCCACTTGTCTTATATTGTAACAGAAAATTGACTCAACAAGTGCGTGCTCTGTTCTGAACTATATGCTCAGCACTGCTGTGTTTAATTGCTATGTCTCTCCCCTCTGTCATAAACAATCTTAGTGTTATATAAACTCAAGTTCATATGTACACATCTCACATATTCTGTTCTTCTTTCCTGGTCCTAGTTCTAGACCCAATAACCCTTAAAAGAGCAACTCATATCAACAAACCTGTGATTATAATAAGGGAAAATGAGGAAGAGGTGATAGTCGATAATTTTGCTGAGAGCTACACCCTGGACACTTGAGAAAGGACTCAGTTCTCTTGGCACCGATGAATTTAATCCTCAGATAAATTCCATTACACCTGGTGTTACTGTGACGATAAAGACCTGTGGCTCTGAAAGCCTCCTTAGAATGGGCACCACTTGCATGGAAACTGAGAATGTCAATCCATTCAAAGAGCTAACCCTAAATCGTTATGGTGCAATGCTCTCTCTACGCTTTTTGCGATCACTGTTTAAACTGCTCCTGTCCCTCTTATCCTGTAGATATTTCCCTTACAATGTCAAGAGAATACTCTCTAATCTTAATTTTTATCACCACTAGAGTAGCTGACAGACATTATAGACAGCATTTTAAGTCAGAGATGATCTGAGGGGTTGAAATTACTGTGTGTTTTCCACAGATGTGGTTATTTAAAGTCACAGTGTTTTTGACCTTCACCTGTACAAGCCAGCAGATCAGTTACTCTCCTGAGGCAAGCAGTAGGCGTCCATGTCAACCAAGAGAAGTTCAGTTTTGAATCGACAATGTCAATAGAATACTCTCTAGTCTTAATTTTTATCACCACTAGAGTAGCTAACAGACATCATAGATAGCATTTTAAGTCAGAGATGATCTGAGGGATTGAAATTACTATGTGTTTTCCACAGATGTGGTTATTTAAAGTCACAGTGTTTTTGACCTTCGCCTGTACAAGCCAGCAGATCAGTTACTCTTCTGAGGCAAGCAGTAGGCGTCCATGTCAACCAAGAGAAGTTCAGTTTTGAATGCTTTTTTTCCTGCACTGGACCTTTGTTTTGTGTATATGACTGAGTGTGTATGTGTGTATATGACTGTATAAGTGTGTGTATGACTGAGTGTGTATGTGTGTATATGACTGTATAAGTGTGTATATGACTGAGTGTGTATAGTGTGTATATGACTGTATAAGTGTGTATATGACTGAGTGTGTATGTGTGTATATGACTGTATAAGTGTGTATATGACTGAGCAATTTGATTCACTTGCTTGAAGCCATTTTTGCAAATTGCTGCTGATAATGTTGTCATCTGTTTCATCTGAGTCCAGTCCCACGGACACCTCCTGAGTCCCAGTCAAGCCTTGGGTAGCCCTGGACAAAGAGGGCAAACAAATAGAAAAGATCATCCAGGAGTTCTAATAGCAGACTTTAAAGGAAAAGCAATAGGATCAGTATGAGAACTCAAAAGGAAAAGAAAATTATTAAGATGAAATTAAATTATTTTACCCCACTGTAGATCCCAGGCCTATATTTTCCATTTCTGCAGTGTGTGTCAAGCACTAAAAGGCTTTTGCAGACATGTATTAAGAGCACGTGGATATTGCCATTTAGTTATTTCGTGCAGATACTGCATGCATGTAACCCTAGTGTAATTAACTCTTGTTCACCCCTGATCGCTTAGACCGAAGATCTTCTGAAAATGATCATCAGAATTTCACTTGCCTGGGAAGAACCCCTGAAAGTCCTGGGGCAGGAGCTGGCTGCTCTTCCAGGAGCTTCTGATGGGATGCTGTCAAACATCAAGACCTTGGAGGAAAGAAATGAAGCCATTGTAGAGGGAACGGAGACCATTCTCAGCAGGGTGAGCACGCACTTCACATTGCTTTACTTATTTCACTCATGAAAAAGATGACGTCATTAATGGAAAATGAATTTTGAAATCCTCCACTTGGCGTAGTGAAGTTTCAGGATAATATTTTTCACAGCTTTGGGAATAAGGGCTTGATTGCAGATCAACCTTCTCTAAGGTCTTGACAGAAAACATTAGATACCAGTGATCTCGATAGAAAACAGCTGTTCTTCCCAGTGCCTGGGTCAATAGCTTTGCTCTGTGGGTGAAACACTCCTGGTTCGTTCAGCAGATGTTCCTATGAACGTCTTTCCTGGACAGTCTGCCTCTCAAACATTACAATAAAGTTCTCATGATGATTAATGTTTTGAAAGAATGTGTGTTATGGAGAGTAGACATAGTTCAAAAGTAGAAAATCATCAGGATACTCTACCAGAATCCATAACATGATGGGAACTTCAGAAGTACTGAGGGCATGAAAGAAATGACATTGGCCTTGACAATAGCCTTCTTCAAATGCATGGCTACCCTCAAGGAGCCACTTCCTTGTTCTCCATCTGTCTTCTTCTGTTAAAAAAACACCTCATCTGGGATGAATTACACATCAGAAAATGTACAAAGGCATCTCTTTCTGAGATGTATATGCCTAATTCCTTTACAGAATCTTGGCCAAGATACATGAAAAAAAAAACATTATTTTGATCTCAGCGTTCTATTCCTAAATCTTTACCAAAATCTCATTGAAGATTTAGAAGGAGCAGGGGCTTGGGTAGAGGAAAGGGCTCTGTCTGCAATGGCCTTCCTTGTCAGCACGACAACCTGAGCTTGGCCCCCAGGATCCAGGAGAACAATGGTGATGTGGTGGCTTGTGCTTCTGATCCTGGGAGTACGGAGGGACAGCTAGACAGATCCCTTGGATCTTACCATTAAAAAAACTCATTTCAAAAAATAAGGGACATTTTACCTGGGGAACTTTATCTAAGGTTGAATTCTGACCTCCAAATGCATGTACGTTCACAGTCACACTCATGCACATATGTTGAATGTGTATGCATGCACACATATACCTGAGAAATATAGTATAGTAATAATAATATAAATCATAACTGTGCTTTGATGTTAGCTTCAGCCTGGAGCTGTGGAAAAGGAGTATGTCGCCTGGTCGGGAAAGAATGACCTGCAGTCTGCTGATGCAAGGACTCGAGTTGCTGCTCTAAGGAACGTGCTCCGCTGCCTGCGCAGGGACACACATAAGATTGACAATTTCTTCAAGGTCCTCAAGTGCCGAGTCGTCCGTAACAATAACTCCTAATCGCATCTCCAATGCCATCAACTCCTAAGATGTCCTGATGGTTCAGCCCTTCAGAGCTTCTTTGAATCGTTACCCTTTGGGTCATGCACGAGTGTAATGTAGTTCTTCTTAAGAAATAAAAACTGATTATATTCAACTGATCGTTTCAAACTGAATTTTCAAATTCATTTTCAGATTAATGTAAAATTGATCCATGTTATATTCACCTTCTATAAAAATTATCTCAAAGATGTGAAGTTTGGCTTGACTATCAGTCCCTAGAATACTTAATTTTGAGACAGTGTAAGCTAAACTGGGAGAACTTATTTTTTAAAAAGCATGGGATTAAGATCACTCAGCACATCCTTCCTACGAGAGGAGGGTATCTGGGGAAAGGTTGTTAAAGCAAACTCTACTCTGGGGGTCAATTATCATAGTCTAGTGCCAGACAATATAAGCACTGTATTAGCACATTATCCCAATATCATGAAATGGTAAGCGTTCCAAAACATGTCAGAATACCAGTGAGAGTCTCTGTATCTCTCACATTTGTCTTCACACATGGTCCTCTTTAACTTCATCTTAGACAGATTCCATAGACTCTAGTCACTCTGGGTCTGATTATACTTCAGTCCTTATTCAGGAATTTTAAATATTTCCCCTCTTCCTGTTACTAAGGTCTCACAGCTGAGAAGTAGATTTCGTCCCTTCTTACAATATTTCTTCCTTTTCCTTCTTCTACGTATCTAAACCTGATACTTTCTCTGAATTCACTAGATTAGGTCAAATGACAAAATGTCACTGTCTTGTAGCAAGTTCCTTTCAGATAAGCCATTCCATCTGGGGGAGAATTTACTGAAAACACAAGAATGTTCTAAGAAGATATAAAATATCCCGTCCTGCAGGGAAGCTTAATATTCTTCATAAGAACACAACTCCATGACTTCAGGACATCCTTGAAACTGACCAGATTGACTCTGCCTCTCCTCCCGCAGGTCTATAAACTAAATACTGCTGAGAGTCATGTGCAGACCAGCAGTGCTCATGGAAGAGTCTAAGACCAACTGAGCTACTTGGAAAGGATGCTCTCCAGCCTTTGGTTTCTAGCCAGTTGTGTGATGTCTTTGATGTTTCCTGCTTTTGTGGGCTGTCACCAAAGCTGTGGTTGTCACTACATTCCGCAGGTGTCTCTGAGTCAGTTTGACACTTACAAGTAACGGTGAACCCATATTCCTAGTGGTAACCCCAATAGAACTCATTGGCCACCAGGTTTGATTTTGCTGATATCGTTAAATTTCTGTTATTGGTTACCTATCTGGGTTCAGTAGATGTTTATCCAAGGCTACCCAGGAAGAAAGCCACACAGCAGTGATACAAGAAAGGTCACAACTAAAGTATATTCCTGACCAGGATTCTAGTCCAGTTGTATCTAAGTGTCAGATGCCCTGTCGTGGGGCACAGTAGTGCTGTTTCCACAGACCAAGTGGGGGGCACCTCAGGGGACCGTGTATCTGTCAGGAGAAATTCGTGCTAAACTCACTCTTCACGCCACAGCTCTGTGTGTCCTTTATGTCTCTGCTGGTGGTTATCTCCACTGAATGTTCTCTAAGAAAAACAGCTCAAGGAATACTTTCCACCAACTGACACAATATTTTGCATCTGGCCTACTCCATCAGGGGAGTGGTAACAGCACTGTATTATGACCGTGACCTTCTTGGGGTCTACCAATTCCTTCTCCTCCTGTTCTTAGAGATCCAAAATGGATCTAAACATCAAATTCACTGGTGGACATTCAGTAAAGTAATGAGCATCCTTCTGAACCCCAGTAATGCTGTACTCTCTTGGCAGTCATTGTAGACTGACGGACATTCTCTACCAGTCCAGGTATGAAAACATGTGTCCCTTTAAAATCAAGAGATAGCCCATCTGGAGATAAGTGATTCCTTGAGGCTAGCCCAGTTTGTGGACTGCCTCTCAGCAACCAAGGATTTGCACTAAAGTCTGTCTTCTCTCCTTAGAAGGCAGGTGGATTGTCCAGCTCATATATATATATATTTTTTTTTAGGCACTAGATAGAGATGGCCCAGTGAACTTTCTCATAGACATTGAAAAATTGGTGTGCAACGAGGAGAAAGTGAGCTAGCTGGTGAATAGAAAGTAAGAACAGAGTAAAGGAGATGTGTGAATGACACGGTGTGAAGGTTAAAACATGAGTTTGTTGAAACCTAAATCTTTCATTTTTTCCTGTGTGATTGCACTTTAGTGTATGCTTGTGTACATGCTTGCCTGTATGTAAGTGTGTTTTTATGTGAATATGAACATGTGTGCTTAGTATCTAACCTGTTACTTATGTTTGCATGACATGCTATTTAGAGACTGAGTCATCTCCCTGAATCCTCATTTTAAGAACCTCACAGCAAATTGGATGTCATCTTATTTCACCTCTATTTTCTTTACTAAATTTTTGTTTGACTTACATGTTTTTTAACATTCTGTGGAAACCTAGTCCATTTCTATTGGGCCTTGTCATCATTTTCTGGATTTTCTCATTGGAAAGCAAGAATGTGCTGACTCTGGTGGTCCAAGCAGATAGAGAAGAAGGCAACGTTGAGATCTAAGCATGTAAACAGCATGGCTTCAGTGGGGATAAGACCCAACATGTTGTAGGGGTTATGGACATCTGATTGCCCTGTGACAGTGGCATGATGCAATGCTCAGAACTCCTGGACTGATTGATAGTCATATGTTCCTATTATTTACACTGATGAGAGGAGTGTTCCATAGTCAGGGCAAGGTCCAAGGATCATATACTTTAAACATCTCTCTGAATGTCTTTGGAACTTACAATGTGCCTCATGAGTGAGTGAGTACTGCCTCTGAAGATGGGCTGCCCCCTGGTTTTAATTCTACTATTGGTGGTGGTATGTCACAAGCTGGCCTTTTGGGGGTTGTCTTCAATCCCCAGTTTGGGCACCTTGAAGGGAAGTTCTGGCCCCAGCTGTGCTCTTTTTCTAAGGCTAAAATGGTGCCACTCCTCATCTCCAGAGAACATAAGATTCATGATTTATTGTCTCAGATTTTACCAGGGTTAGGGTGCTTGGCACTGAGACTTACAAGTTATTTGGTCCTATAGCTTTCTCAGAAAGTCTCATCTCAATAAAAGCACAGATCAATCAGGGTCATCTAGGAATTCATGAATCACCTCAAGATCTGCTAGGTTGTACCAGCTGGGCAGCTAAAAGAGACTTTGAGTTGAGTAACCTGTGGTCCACACAATGGTATTGTTCCTTTCTGATAAGGGGTCCATAACCTGAGTCACTACTGAATAAAATCAACCAGAAAGTCCATGAACCAGACCCCAACTGTCCTTTGGACCATAGGCTTCTCAGTGCCCAACAAAATGCAGTCTGGCCTGTCCTTACATTCCTCATAACCCTTCATGATGGTTATGCCCAAATTCTAGTCATCCAGGACACTATAGACACACCACTACTCATTGGCACCACTCAATGATCACAGTCTCTCTCTGGCAGCGTATGAAAACCCAGCAAGCATTTTCTGATAGATTAGAGCAGTTGATTTTCCAGTGGCCCTCTTGCTGTCAGTCAATGCACAGATTCCATCTGAACATTCCTTCTGAACAGGACGCTTCTGCCTGTTGGCTTCCTCTAATCTTGGGATTAATTAGGAGGAGCCTCCCTTTGCAGATGATCAGCTCCAAGAGCACAGACACTAGCAAATATTCTTCCTTACCTTTTGTTCCACCTGATACCCAGCTTCTCACTAACAATTGAGGGAAACCTCAAGGCTACCTCTAGTGATTGACAGTTCATCACTCCAGCAAAGCCCCTTAATTTCTATACCTTGCACTCCCTGTTACCTTGAGCCTAACAAACATGAGCCACATTTACGTTGTGCTGAATTGCAGCTGCCGGTGTGGAAAGGAGTGTGAGGTTGGCAAGCCCCTGACAGTGTATTACACAGTTGACCTGGGCTCCCCTCGTGTTTCTAAAGCACTGCTGAGATCTTCCCCGTGCTCATGGTTCCCTTTCCTCCTTCCTTCTTGCCATTTATGAGGGTTTTTCAGTAGCATTTAAACCTTTGTAATGCTCTATCACCATTAGGGTCCCTGTGATGGATTTACTCCCTGCTGTGTAACATAAATAACAGGAGAATGGGGGGATAATGTTAAATATCATCGATATGAGATGAAGTGTTGTCAGACCTAGAGTGAATAAAATACATGGAATCTTTCTAGGATGATACTAAGAAGGACCATGCTTGACGACAGTTACTAGAGAAATATAGAGACCCTTTCTCTTATGTCCTGACATGTTTTAGACTGTTTATCCATTCACAGTACTTGAGATAATGCACTATTATGGTACTTATATTGTCAGTCATTAGACTATGAAAACTGACTCCCAGAATAGAGTTCATGTTAACAACCTATCCCAGATACCTTCCTCTTGTAGGAAGGATGTATTAAGTGATATTAATCTTATGTTTTTTTCTAATAAGTTCTCCCAGATTAACATACTATGACTCAAAACTAAGTATTCTAGGGTTATATCCAAGCCAAATTTCATTTCTTTGTGACCATTTTTTATAAGAACATGAATAAAACATGGATCAATTTTATATTAAGTGGAAAAAAACTTGAAAATTTCCAGTTTGAAATGATCAGCTAAATAAAATCAGTTTTTATTTGTTAAGAAAAAATTATCTGTTGAAAAAGAAGCTTCTTTGATGGGTAGTGACTGGCATACTTTTTTGTAAATTTAAGGATCCATATTTTGAACATAGTAAGAAATTACATTTGTCTAGAGATGTTACAGTCTTGGGGTTTTCTCTAAGGTCTATGACTTTTCTCACTGTGTATTTAGCTAGATTTGTAGTACCAAACATAAGTTTCCTCACATTGAGTGAGCTTTAAGTCCAATTAGGTAGCTGTTGATTACCCCAAGATAAAAGTGCCCCTACTGCAACAATTACAGAGTTCCACAGGTGGTCAAACACAAGCCTAAGTGTCCAAGCCTAAATGGCACATCTACGACGCAACCTCTATACCTAAGGCTCATGAAGCATTGAACAAGACATGAAGAGAACAACGATGTATCTTTCAATTCTCATTAATGAAGCTCCTTCATGCAACAG